CCTCTATCTGTTACAATTATTTCAAAACCTCGTCTTTTTAAACAACATTGTAAAACTTATTTATTGTCTGATAAACGGCGATTTTTGCAACTATAGTTGTTTTAACCTTATTTAAATCTTATTTGAATAATTTTTGTATATGAGTAATATCAATGATCTGAATAAAACTGTTTTTGTATGTATGTATGTATGTATGTATGTATGTATGTATGTATGTATGTATGTATGTATGTATGTATGTATGTATGTATGTATGTATGTATGTATGAATGTATGCATGTATGCATGTATGTATGTGCGTATGTAGGTATGTATATATGTACTTTTGAACTATATTTGGTTTCATATCATTTAATTTATTGAAATGCTATAGAATCCTAAATTCAAAACTTTAATTTTATGTACTCATTTTGAACTATATCTCTGTTTCATAAGATTAATAAAATAGAATCTGCAGTTCAATAACTTTTGATTTATTTCGATCTAGTTTAATCCTTGATTTTTGTCGAACTATTTTAATTTTTGGTTTTTGTTGATCAATGTTGATTTTATTTGGATAGGGTGACTTTCTTACAAGCATTTGGTTGCTTTTTTAGTTTACCCCTCTTTTGAGAAAATAAACGAATTGAATTGAAATTGAAAAAATGGAAATATATATAGAGAGAGAGATGTATGTAATAAGTTTGAAGCTAATAATTTTGTTATACCACAGCCCAATCATATGCTTATAGTCCAATCTCTTAAACACATACATATAAAGAACAACTTAAATTTACTTTTATTGTTTATATGAATTAAGGTTGGTGAGTTATTTAAAGCTGCAGGTCAAGCCATGACACTATTAGGATCATTGACTTGCCAGTTAGATTCTAGTGAAGATTCTCTCGGCTTAAAGTAAAATTTTTGCTCTTGAATTATTTTAAATTATATTGCATCTAAATTATTCTTTCTTAGTGAAATTTTAAAACTTAATACGCTTGTGAAAATACGCTTTTTTCTGTCTAAAACAATGTAATGTTGGACGCACATCCAAATCATTCTTTATTATCAAATATTAGCACGAAAATTACCTATTAAATTGTAAAAAATCGAAGCAGACTAGAAGATCCTAATATTGAATTATAAATAATAGCCTTTCTTCAAGTTTTGTTCAATGATATAATGGTTGTTCGTTAGTGGTACGCATAGATCACATTTCCCACGATCTTCAAAACCTAGACCTGAGTTTCATGAATTTACTTTTTTGCTAGGTTAGACAGGTTATATTCGTTCGAAGTTATTTTGAACTTATTAATTTGAAAAAAGCGAAAAGGATGGTGAAAATATAATTAATTGATATAAACTATAATCTCCGTACCACATCAATGTGATAGGAAAATGGAAAACATTTCTAGACGAAGAAATTTGGGAAAATTTTGCTGAACCCACATTTCAAGTAGGAAAATCTTACAATTCACAGTTGTTATTCAGAAAAGAATGACGTATGCGTTGTATTAGTATTTCCATTAGCTTCTTACAAAATTCAGGTGTGCGTTCATAATATAATCGAAGATCAAAGTACCAAATCTAATAATATTATTTCCTGAAATAGTACGTAAACATTTATTATTAATAGATCAACGCTACATTTATACCCAGCTTTTACAAACCGAGTTTTTGATGTGTCGCACGTAGCGCACTTTCTATTTCTATTCTGCATATTACTAGTACCTGTTTCATTGCGATACATCGATTCACGCAACACATTTTATACAAAAAATTATACATTTAAAACTGAGGTAAAGATCCCATTCAAATGATTTTACGAATAAACGATTCAGTAGGTACTACAGAGAAGTGTAGAAAGTTTTATTATCGGAGAATCTAAACGTGGAATAATTACACATTTTTAAAACTCAGGACAGAACTTGAAACGATACCTGTTAAAGTGTATTGTTGTAAACCTTGGCTTTGTAAATACCAACACCGATGTTATAACTTTAAAGATATATATTTTTTTATCTAGATTTCCAACACCAGTGTTGTATCTTCCAACGAATCATCAAGTGTTCGTTATTCCGTAGGTTCAAGATTTCCGATAAATGAACACAACTGCTTGAAACGCAAATTTTGTTGAACGTTTATTTGAATAGCAACAGTAATAGGAACAATCAATAAACTAATCCAAGTAACTACGTAAATCACATTTACGACTTCACATTCTCTGCTGGAAACCTGACTGTATACCTGACTACGCAGAACATAGTGTAGATTTTTAGCATAGATACAATATTTCATTGCAACCCTCTGTAGTTTACAATCCAAATATTACAAATATAGCAAAGATAACAATAATCAAATAATGTATAATATAGCACAATTTGATCATTTCGGCGGTTATAACATCACCCCCAACTTAGCCCGTTGGTCCCTAACATAGGCGTTACTTCTTTATTTTGGTAGATATCGATAATCTATTCAAATGGACAACCTTCATCTTTGTCCATTTACTTCCATGATCATGGGTCCTGTAGATCACGTCATTTATCTTGTTAATGATCTTGTACCGACCTTTCCAATTCCATGGGAGTTTTGCCGGGTATCTTTTGTACCGATCTTTCCCATTCCTTGGGAGTTTTGCCGGGCATTGCCTTTTTCTGCGCCGTAAGTTGTACAATCAGACCAGGTCTTTGCTCTTGAACCCTGCGTTATTTCTTTTCGGGTCACGCCACGTTAGGTTGTTTTGGTTCTTCTAGCCATAGGCAGACGTCGTGGTCTTTTCTTGATTCTATTGGCACTTGAAGCAGGTGCTTTCTTTCTTTTGAGTTTACGAGGTGTAGAATAACCAGACAGGTAGCTCAGGTGCATGTTGTAAGATTCTTTGTTGACGTCTTTTTTGTCAATCAGTGATGCAGCAATGCAAATCTCATCCTCATCAGCAATAAAACCGTCGTTAATCTAGGTAGACGAGATACAAAATTTTCTTCTAGGTGCATGATGGAGGCGTTTTCTCAAAACTTGATATTTGTCCCCAATTCTAGTCCTAAATGCATATTCGCATTAACCTTAAAATCATCTTCACTGACGTCGCTAATCTCTATGTTAATGCATCTCCAGATTTTCATTTCATCAGAATTATCACTAATTGAATTGTTGGTGAATGTTGCATCGAAATCATTGTAGCTATTATTGTCACTGCTGTCATTGTTATCAATTAAAACAGGAGAGTTACAGAAAGATCCGAGTGGTAGCCAAACTGCATGTCAAAAGTTTCTGTCTTTATCCCTGCTAACTTCTCGAATATTTTAAAAAACTTCATTGTCGTCTTCGTTAGCAGCTTCATTATCACGGTAACTTTTTTCTTCACGACAACACATGCATGCAAGTGTCACTGCGATACAGGTGATACAATTATCACGTGTATTGCAGTTATCACATGCGTCGCAGATATCACTTGTATTGCAGTCGAAATCATCCGTAGATGTGTAAGCCGGTAGGATAATTTCAGACTCTTGTATAGCCGTTGATGATATAGCTGTTTAGACTGTCTCTTCACTAGGTGATAATCTTTCAAAGGTTGATCGTATTATTTCATTGGCCGCTCGTAATTCGGCTCGCATTTTTCTTGATCCGACTATCCGTTGATCGATCTTGTCGTTCAGTTCCGTTTTAAAATAGAACTCATCCAGGATCGATTTCTTTTATTAGAGCGTCCCCTAGGATAATCAAAACTGCTCTCGCTCCTTTTGAGTCGATGTTTCGTTTTCGTAGTTCCTTTCTCAGACTAGTTGTGGTTATGACATTAAACTGACCCTCACTGCCTTGCGAGTGATGTTGGATCATCAAAGGCTAGGTCCACCGCTTATAACTGCTGTTGCGTAAGGAAGGGCGTCCTGCGTAAAAACTAGCCAAAATAATACTTATGATGACGGAGGGGTATTTCGGTTTCATCATAGGTAGCTAAACGGCAACTCCCGATCTCGGGGAAAATGTCGTCTAAACGTGTGTTGTTGTTGTTTCTCAGACTAGTTGTATTGAGCTCTTATAGCTCTACCATTTTTTATTGCAGAAAATTTCGATCTATCAAAAATCTTACTTCTGACACCAATGTTGTAACCCCTGACATATATATATAGTCTAGATTTTTAGCATAGATACAATATTTATTTACAACCCTCTGTAGTTTACAATTCAAATATTTAAATATAGCAAAGATAATAATCAAATTATTAATAATATAACGCAATTTGATGATTCCGGCTGTTATAACAATATTTATTTCGAGAGCAAGATTTCGGCGAAATCATCCACGACATCTCGCAAAAAAGTTTGCAATTTGGTTTTTAATAAACTTTTCATGATTTTTCTAACAAATTGCAAGATTTTTTGTTTATATATCTTTTCTTGGCTATAAATTTTCGAAAGACCTGACAAAAATATTATATTGTTTCTTTTATTCGGAAAATAATTAGGGATGGAAATTTTCGCTCGTTCGTCACCTCAGGGTCTCCAGACCTCCAGGTCCGGCCAAAGTCAGAACGTTGACCAGTTATTTTGTTTTTTATTTGAATAGTATTTGTTAGGAATAATAAAAGATAAAGCTAGCAAGCTACCGACTAATCTAATTTTGGAAATCTCTTTGCCAGAAGTTTTAAAAAAGAACAATTACAATTTGTTGCACCACTCCCTTGTCATTACAGTATAAATAAAACAAATTGCATAAAGAGCTCGCTAAAACATTAAAAAATGCAATTTTAATATTCTGAAAAATGTTACCAAAAATTTGTTGAATTTTTTATTTACCTGTTATTGTTATTATTTATTTATTTTATTTGAAGAAAGCACGGGCAAATGCCCACTGACGAATTTATATTTAAACCACAATATAAAAGACAAAATTCTGCTATAACATATTAAAAAAAAAGAAAGAGAAAATGACCAGATACCATAAGATCAAAAAATATACACATACCCATATATATATATATATATATATATATATATATATATATATATATATATATATATATATATATATATATACAATATTCTACAAATTCTACCGAATGTTTGGCGTTAATATGTTTGTAGTTCGTTTTTTCGATTTTTCTCTCTAAAGTTTTTTGGAAAACGTTTAGTTTATTAAAATTCAAAATAAACTTATTTTCCGAATTCATGCTGCAAATAAGGCCATATTTCGATTCCGAATGAATCATCATCAGTGCATGTTGATTTATATAGGGAAATATTCACTTAGTGAAAGTGAACTTAGATGGAAATTAGGTGTCAGATTTCTTTATTGTAATTTCGTATCTTCGTTGGTTTCCTTTTGTTCATCGATAGCATAATATTCTTCTTTTTCATTATTTACAATGCTAGTTTTATTTCTTCTTTGTTTTTATTGTTGATTAAGCGCCGGGTTGAGAGTGAGGTTGTCATTTTTTGTTGTATAATTATTTTTGGTTTATTGGTGTCAATTAGGACTGCTTCTGCAATTTTAAGATGCGTGTAGTTGCTGTTCTGGTATATTACTTTGATGTTGCTGTCGAGGATTTCAATTTTGCTTACAGTGGTTGCGCGTGTTGAGTCCAAATGAGATTTGATAGCACCACTCTGTTTATGCATCATAAGCCTTCTAGTCTGAGGTAGTAGTAGTCCCGGTATATGAGTCATGTTGACGTGCACAGCCGTCAAAGGGGCAATTAAATTCATATATTACGTGATTACGCTTTAACACAGAGTTATCTCTAGGACTACAATTGTTTTTTAGTACTATGTGAGACGTCTTTTTATTGTTGTAATAAATTCGGAGTTTAACTTTACTATTTGGGTTGGTTGGTGTGACATTTTTATTGATGATATGTTTGAGAATAGCTTCATCTACTTTGTACACACATGTAAAAACACATATATTTAGAGAGTCAATCACGGATTGTTGGAGTCTATTCCAGTCTGCGACAACTTTGTTGCTAAAAGAATATTTTCTGACATTTTTGTGGGACAGACCTGTAGATAACTTCAATTGATGCCCTCTTGTTCTTTCGTCACAACTCTTTTGGCTCTTTTTTGAACCTTTTCAATCATATGGATGAGGTTCGTTTGATATGGGTTCCAAACCTGAACTTCATACTCCAGACGTGGTATGACCAAGCTCTAATACAAATATAAGCAAGCTTCTTTATCAATAAATCTAAAATGTCTGTTTATAATGCCCATCATTGACTTAGCTACCTTTATTTTACTTTACTATATAGATTGAAGGTGAGTTTATCATCAACAAACACACCTAAATCTTTTATTACTTTGACTACCTGGATAACTTGTCTGGTCTGGGTAGAATCCCACATTTCATAAATATTATTGCATTGGTTTTTTCAAAGTTTAACCAACAACACTTATCGACATTCGCAATCATATGCCAGGCACTGAACCAATTTTGCATACTAAAGTGGCATCAAACTTAGAAGACAATGCATCACCCTATTTGCACCCTGAAATTTCTTTCCTTAAAATAGTCACTTATCCAAACAAGAATTTTAGCATTGAATCTGTATTTCTTCAGCTTCAGCAACAAACAACTGTGAGATATCCTATCAAATGCCTTCTCAGAATCCGTATAGATTACATGAACCACCTCATCACAATCAACACCCAATGTAACTTCATCCAAAAAATTTTGCAACTGAAGAGTCGTCGATCGTCCAGGCAAAAACCCAAATTGGTTTTGATGAAATAAATTATTCACCAAAAAATAATTCATAATGTGGTCTTTAATAATTGAAGTAAGGTAACGTAAAGTTTTGTTGGCTTTTTTAGTTGCTAGTCTTTATATGCAATTTTTTAAAAATTCATAAATAAGTAGCGGCTAAAAATGGCCCGACGTCCTTGCTAATTTTTGTGCATAACAAATGGTTAAAAAATGTCTGCATAAAATATATTAATATTCAAGAAACAATATTATCCACGTGCATCTTCAAAACAAAACCCTTGACAACGTTTCCGGTATGAATAAACTGATTTCAAACAAATTTATAAATTGGATTCTTAATTTTGATTTCTTGATAACTAACAATTCATAGCAAGTGGTCTAAGTTAGAAGTTGATATGTTAACAACCAGTATTAAAAAGTTTTCTGAAGATCTCAATCATATATCTTCTGTTATCAAAACAAAAGCCACGTTAGTTTTAATATTTGTTTTTTTAATGGAAGCTTATTTTTCAGCACATTTTTAAATTATTTGATTTCATGCAAAAAATTATTGTTTTTATCAAGGAATAATGTCGACATTCAAATGAGGAAAAAGTTTGTCCCGCTATCACAGCCCATTGCTACTGCAAATAAAAAATTAAATTCTGTTAAAACAGCAGATGGAATAACATTTGATCACAACTCACTAGACGAAAATATTTTAAAGTGATTTGACGTTCAAAAACCGACACATTTTTTATGTTTTTGTTTAAATGTTTTTATTCGTCCCTATGTATTCAATAAATTGAACTACGCGATTTGTCTTTTCTTTAAATTGATTGCAACAGCAGAAGTATCTGTAATTTTTTCAATAACTGCACAAAGTATTTCTTAATACCACCGCCACTGATCTATCCATTACTGTTAAAAGGCAGAATAAACAGGTAAGAGTGCGTTGAATAAAAACTTTAGAACAGAGTTGATTGGGAAGTTATATTGCTTATAAAGTATTAAAATTGCCTACACGGAATGCTAAATAGGATGAATGGAGCTAGAACTTCTGACTGTCTAGCTGTATAAAAAGAAGTTTAACGTTATCGAGCACAGCACTCGTTGCTTTTATATTGAGAAAAGCGTTATTGATATTGCTAAAAATATTGTTAAAGAACTGGCCGCTAAGCAATTTCAATGGCCGCTAAGCAATTTCAATGTAGTGGGTTTATGCACAGGCAGTGACCTGGGTGGTAAATTTTGTGAAGTGAAAAATCTTTTAAAATGTCGAATATCTTTGAAGTTAGAAACTTGTACGACAAAAATTAAGAAGTTTAACAAAACCGCGCGCATTTATATAATTCACCTCCTCGACGCACAAAGATTGTATGATATGATATGCATGGTTCACTTTTTTAATTCACCACTCTGGAAAACTTGCGTTGACACGTTTTAAGTAATTTTGGATAATTTGATTTTTGAGAGGCGATAAACCGCATTCGCTGAAATTAATTAACGAAAATTAGCGATTGTGTAATTGGAAAATTTGTACATGGTGAAATTACTTAAAGGTTATAGAATATGGGCTGAGATTTTCAATTTCGGACAATATGGACACCTTAAATTCTGAGTTGTTGCTCTTAAAGTTTTATTTGGCTGTCTTG